CATACACCCATCCAATACCTATAGACACCGGGAGTATCACCGGACATACACCTATAGACACCGGGAATGTCACAGCACATACACCCATCCAACACCTATAGACACCGGGAGTATCACCGGACATACACCCATCCAACACCTATAGACACCGGGAGTATCACAGCACATACACCCATCCAACACCTATAGACACCGGGATTGTCACCATACACCCATCCAACACCCATAGACACCGGGAGTATCACCGGACATACACCCATCCAACACCTATAGACACCGGGAATGTCACAGGACACGCAATACACACAGTACATTGATCCTATAAAGTATGTCTGACCTCCATAAGCACTTTTTGACCATGTGTGCCAAACTCCTTACGCAGATTGACCGCAGAGAGAATCCAGACCACAGTCCAGAACCATCCCCTGCAGAGTCCATCTCTGACCATCCAGAGGCCCTAACTTAGGCCAGACCACTGGTCCCTGTGACCATCAGATTTAGAGTCCCATCAGTCACCTGTTATCACTCCATATGTACCAGGGGTTGTGTCAGACCGCATTGATGCCTTCTATCCTGAATTTGGAGGATCAGCGGGCTGCTTCCAGCCTTGTATCTTTTAAAGCTCCTACAGCTACAAAGACCTTCTCGTTACACCTTGAGGGGTCCTGAGGGCTGTTCCTTCTGTAGATGAACTAGTGTACTACCTAATCGGAGCACCACCAGTCCGGGACAAGGTGTGCTGACCCTTCTACTGAATTACCTGGCAAAACCCCGGCTGAGCTACCTGGTTCTGCCCCCAGTCCTGTGTTGGCAGTCACCCTCATCTGTCACACCTTGTCCCCCCTAAGCTGGGGTGGATGCTTGTGACTCACTTCCAACCTCATATCCTGTATAGGCCGCATGCAGATGCACAGGACTCCGCAATGCTGATGGCATATCCAAAGAGCTTCTGACTCAGTTGACCTTCAAGGGAGGTCTCCTCTTTGGCCAAATGCTGGACAACGTGATCAGCAACGTCTCAGGGGGCCAGAGCACGTTCTAGTCCCATGGTAGAAGGTCTAGGGAGAGGTGGGTTGAATTCTAACCAGAGAGCAGAAGTAGTAAAATAATGCTGCCTCTGCAGTAAGTGCCCCCAGGCCGCATAAGACTCTCGCTCAGCCCTGTACGGCTCCAAATCAGAGATCTACCAATCCCTCTCCCTCCCTTGTGCCCCATTTCATAAAGTGGGGGAGGGATCCTGTCTCAGTGGCTCAGGTAGTGCCTGACATAATCATTCAGGCTTTCAGCCAACTAGGGTAACGTCTTCCTACCACCCCTAGGGCATTCCACTTGCTGGAGGACCCCCATCCCTGGGACTGCCATCGGATCAGAACAATTAGTTAATATCATTCTGGGGAACCACATATTGACCAAGTCTCCTGCATCTGACTCCGTGGGCCACCATGTAGGTGGTGCAGTTCCTTCATCTCCAGGAGGGTCTGGGAGTCCTCCCAGTGTCAGTGTGAGTTCTTGGGGTGCCGGCATTCCATTTGTCCCTTAATGATTGAGAAACAAAAATTGTTTTTTTTAGCTTACCATCAAATCCATTTCTTGAAGTGAGGAACCGATCATGAAGGAAAACTCCCGGGGGTTGGAGAGGGACATTGCTGGGAGTGAGCTCTATACTGTCACCACGAAGTACCTACAGTACCATGTGAGGTGACAGATCAGCTTGTGTAGCAGTTATATACAGTATGTCATCACATTGGATTATGGTTCCCCTGTGTGTGAGGCATGCTCTGGTGGTCCTTCTGACCTGTTCTGGTCCTGGCATGGTCTGGCAGTCCCTCTGACCTGTCCTGGTTCTGGCATGGTCCGAAGCTCCCACTGACCTGTCCACATTCTGGCTTGGTCCACAGATCTCTCTGACCTGTTCTTATTCCAGCATGGTCCAGAGGTCCCTCTGACCTGTCCTGGTTCTGGCATGGTCCGAAGCTCCCACTGACCTGTCCCTATTATGGCATTGTCCAGCGGTCCCCCTGACCTGTCCTGGTTCTAGTATGGCCCAGAGGTCCCCCAGATCTTTCCTGGTTCTGGCGTGGTCCTGCCAGTGTCAGTGTTCTTGGGGTGCAGGCATGGTCCGGAGGTCTCTCTGACCTGTCCTGGTTCTGGCATGGTCCAGAGATCTCTCTGACCTGTTCTGGTCCTGGCATGGTCTGAAGCTCCCACTGACCGGCCCTATTCTTGCATTGTCCAGAGGTCCCCCAGATCTGTCCTGGTTCTGGCGTGGTCTGTGTGCCTGCGGTGGCAGCAGGTGGTGGTGAGAGGACGGTGTTGACTCGCACAGAATTAGCATTTAGATGGAATGTCTAATAATAGTCCGTTGTGATCCCGGAGAGTGTCACTTTACAGACTCCATCACATGTCAGACACCCGGCCAGTGTATTAGCGCTCCCTCTGTTATAGCCGCTCTCCTAATTGGATTGTCTGGGAACTCTGTGTGCCTGCAGCCAGTCCACAGACCGGGGCAATGCGCAGACACCCCCCAGGGCATTATCTGCCCCCACCCATCCGGCACACACACATGCAGCTCAGCCGAGGATCTTGTTGGTCACCAGGTGCTGCACCGGTCCCATTGCCCCAATAAGTCTAGCTTGGTTGTTGTTGTGTTTGGGGTCCGCAGATATTATCGCCTGGACGCGTCTCGCGTCTCCGGGTATATTACATCAGATCTCCCAGAGATCAATAGACAGCAAGAGATCTGCCTCCTGCCAGGACCTGCCCCCACCCTTGTGCCCCAATGTGGTGTGAGCGGGGCAGAGATCGGCCCATCAGTCTCTGTGGTTGCTAATGCTGAAAAATGTCTGAACTTCTGCTCATCGTACCACCTGATAACCTCTAAGAATGAACCCCGACACCATCCACATAGCAATGTACAAAACATCTACTGGCAAGTATCGGCCATGTGTGGCCACCTATAGACCTGAGGGGCCGAGTCAGAAACACATGGAAGTATCAGTCCCTGAGATCGCAGGTTTTGGTTGGTCGCGGGCATTGTACACATTTCACTGCTGATCAGTAGGAGGTGACTGGTAAGGCGATGACTCCGTGCTGGGGGGGGGAGGGAGTTGTAGTTTAGGTTGAGTGTGAAGGCTTTGGACCATGAAGGGCTGAGTGCTGCAGTACGAGGACATTTTCCGCTTACCAGACTGGACGCCATATTATTGTTTTCACTTCTGTGCTTTGTGCTGATATCCAAGGTCGCTCCAAATTCCCCCTCCTGGACCTTCTCTGGGTTGTCCCTGCTGTCACCATATTGTGACATCTCTGAGCGATGGGGGGTGTTCCCGGTCTCAGCGTTGAGGCACGTAAATGGCTACCAGCGTTTGTACATGGCCCGTTGTATGGTCATACATGAACTACAGTCCTATGCAGATCACCATCAACTGGCAGTGGTCACTGTACAGGGTCTGATACTTCCAGGAGCCCTTCCTAATAATAACAGGGACCAGTGTGGGCCTCCCGGGCCTCTTCAATCTTGTTTTGAAAACGTTGATGGCTCAGTTTGGGTAACCCAAAAACATCAGCAAAGTCCCTCCTCGCAGTAGTATCTTTATGTCTCTGTCGCAGGCTAATGAGAACTCTGTAGGCCTCAATGAACGGCTTCCGTTGGGTGTCTTCGGCCTCTGCCATAGACCAAGTTAGGGCTACTCAGACCTCAATGAACGGCTTCCGTTGGGTGTCTTTGGCCTCTGCCATAGACCAAGTTAGGGCTCCTCAGGCCTCAATGAACGGCTTCCGTTGGGTGTCTTCGGCCTCTGCCATAGACCAAGTTAGGGCTTCTCAGGCCTCAATGAACGGCTTCCATTGGGTGTCTTCGGCCTCTGCCATAGACCAAGTTAGGGCTCCTCAGGCCTCAATGAACGTCTTCCGTTGGGTGTCTTTGGCCTCTGCCATAGGCCATGTTAGGGCTTCTCAGGCCTCAATGAACGGCTTCCATTGGGTGTCTTCGGCCTCTGCCATAGACCAAGTTAGGGCTTCTCAGGCCTCAATGAATGGCTTCCATTGGGTGTCTTCAGCCTCTACCATATACCAAGTTAGGGCTTCTCAGGCTTCAATGAACGACTTCCGTTGGGTGTCTTCGGCCTCTGCCATAGGCCATGTTAGGGCTTCTCAGGCCTCAATGAACGGCTTCCGTTGGGTGTCTTCGGCCTCTGCCATAGGCCATGTTAGGGCTCCTCAGGCCTCAATGAACGGCTTCCTTTAGGTGTCTTCAGCCTCTGCCATAGGCCATGTTAGGGCTCCTCAGACCTGTATGAACGGCTTCCGTTGGGTGTCTTTGGCCTCTGCCATAGACCAAGTTAGGGCTCCTCAGGCCTCAATGAACGGCTTCCTTTAGGTGTCTTCAGCCTCTACCATAGGCCATGTTAGGGCTTCTCAGGCCTCAATGAGCGGCTTCCGTTGGGTGTTTTCAGCCTCTGCCATAGACCAAGTTAGGGCTCCTCAGGCCTCAATCACAAGGCAGTTGTGGACCTTTACACCCAGATGGGCAACTACCTGAACAAAACTCTTCTTCAGCTTCCTCCCTCAGATATCAGGCCCAGGAGGTCAGGACTGGACCCGTCACACAGGCTGGAGCCAAGCTGGGGGGGGGAACTTTCTAGAAGGTCACCCCAAATATTGGAATAATCTCCTCAGTGATTGGTTGAGACAGAATAAATATGCATAACCCGATACATTGTATCTTCTCACTCTGTCTGCTGAGGGACACATCAGCAGGTAGAAGCAATCAATCTCCCGGGCTTAGGAGAACCCCAACGATTCCAGATAACACCAACCAAGCTCAGGCTGGATGCGGCCTAGCTGCAAACACTGAATTCAGACTGGGGGCCACTCCAACTTAAAGCAGAACTCTGGGCATAACTCTTCTTAACACTTGCAGTGGGGGATAATTATGCCCGAAGTTCTCCTTTAGGGAAGGTTCCCTACACAAGCCTCAGGTCAGCCATAAAGAGACCCCATAAATGGGAGTGAAATGTCACCGTCCTATACTGTGTTGCTACACGCTTATTCATTGATCAAAGAGGCAGCTGAGACTGTAGATGCCACAGGCAGGAGCCTGCAGGTCCTTTCTACATATCCAGAGACTACAGTAGAGACATAAGCTTGCCCTCAACAGTCCCAGGTGTGGGAGGAGTCAGGCCTGATGACATCACCACACACTGCTCTATGACATCATCTCAACATTACATCTGCCACCTACATTTATTACAGACAATCCTGTGTATTCTTATCAGTAACATGATGGTATCCTTTCCCAGGAGGATGATCTGGACGGGATCCATATTGTGGCCTTCGCAGAGGAGGAGGACCCAGGTACGGTTCTATTACTATAGGAGTGTGATGTCACTGTGAGGTCACAGCAGCTGACGTGTCTGCAGTCTCGGCACACAGGATACCCTCAGATTGGTGTGGTGGCTCCAGTGCTCAGTAATGACCTGATAGAGAATTCTGTCTTTTCTCTCCTGATCTTGCGGCCGGTTTCTGCTTTCAGATGGTTATGAGTTCGTCCAGATCCTGAAGGAGGTGGCCAGAGAAAACACGGAGAACCCTGAGCTCAGCATCGTCTGGATCGACCCCGATGACTTCCCATTGGTGTGTGTCACATTCTGATATATGCTGGCTTCTCCGGGTTATGTCCACCAATGTTACATTACCCCCCCTAACATCTGATGATGTCACATCGTGTCCCTCTGATAGGATGTCCTCTCCATGTCATGTCCACCAATGTCACATGACCACCCTTCCTTACCCTCTGATGATGTCACATCAGTGATGATGTCACATCGTGTCCCTCTGATAGGATGACCTCTCCATGTCATGTCCTCCAGTGTCACATGATCACCCTTCCTTACCCTGTGATGATGTCACATCGTGTCCCTCTGATAGGATGTCCTCTCCATGTCATGCCCACCAATGTCACATGACAACCCTTCATTACCCTCTGATGATGTCACATCATGTCCCTCCGATAGGACCTACTCTCCAAGTCATGTCAACCAATGTCACATGATCACCCTTCCTTACCCTCTGATGATGTCACATCATGTCCCTCTGATAGGATGTCCTCTCCAGATCATGTCCTCCAGTGTCACATGACCACCCTTCCTTACCCTCTGATGATGTCACATCGTGTCCCTCTGATAGGATGTCCTCTCCAGATCATGTCCTCCAGTGTCACATGATAACCCTTCCTTACCCTCTGATGATGTCACATTTTGTCCCTCTGGTGGACATGACTTGGAGAGGAGGTCCTTTCAATGTCACATTTTCACCCTTCCTTACCCTTTGAGGTCACACCGTGTCACTCTTATATGATCTCCTCCCTGAGTCATGTCCTGACTCCTCCCTACTATCTGATGATGTCTCATTGTCCCTCTCGATAAAATCTTCTCAATGAGTCATGTCCACCAATGGTCACATCTCCCCTCCCAACCCTCTAATAGGATCTCCTCTCCAAGTCATATCCCTCTATCACCTGGTCCACCAGCGTCCCATCACTGCTCCCCACGACCCCACCTTCTGCTGATGACACTTCCTGTCACTCTTATAGGATGTGCTCTCCAAGTCATATCCACGAATGTCCCATTACCCCTCCCTACCCTCTGGTGATGTCACATTGTGTCTCTGAACTAGAACAATCTTTATTGTCACTATGTCCTTTTCGTGTATGATGTCACACTGTATATACAATGTCATAGTATCCCCCCTTTTCTGATGACACTCCCTGTATTGTCTGATGATGTCATATCGAGACTCTTCTTGCCATGTGATGTTATAATACTGATCCTGTATCATGTGATGACATATTGTGTCCTAACTAATCCACAAAGTTATGATGTCATCTTAGTCCCATTCCTCCCAATGCCGTTTCATGACTTCATATTATCACTTGTCTAGTGATGTAATACTGTGTGATGATGTAATATGATGATGTCACTTCTGATTCCATCCACTTTCCTTCCACCTACAGCTGGTGACCTATTGGGAGAGAACTTTCCACATTGACCTGTTCAGGCCTCAGATTGGAGTTGTTAATGTCACCGATGTGAGTATCATGCATCCATATTACCGGATCTGGTAATGTCCATAACCGTCAGATATGAATAGCGGCTCCCCCGTCCCTAAATAATGGATCCAACCCGGAGGTCCACCTTTGCAATGGTTCCCACTGACCACTGGGATGAGCAAAGTTCTGGGTCGGGATTGGTGAATGATGAATACATAATGGATGTTCTGGACCGAGAGGGTCAATAATATTACACAAGTTCCATAAACTTTTACCTCTTCCCTGTGTAGCCCTCCTCCCCCCCCCCCGCAGGAGCCGCTGGTTGCCCGGTTCATTTCTAGTCGCTCCGGGGTATGATCCTCAGCTGCCCACCCAACAGCACTAACCGCCCTTCTTCTGGTGCCCACAATAGCTGATGTCCAC